TCGAACTCCAATTAATGTTCTTAGGATGAACAATAAAAATTCGATTGAGAAAAAAATAGGGGAATAAATCATGAAAACAAAGCAAACAAAAAAAAATCGATGGGTTATGAGCCGGCGATATAAAAATATGAGTGAAAATAATGGAGTATTTATAGTGTTTTTTAGATGTGGTGTAAAAAGATCTTTTCAGGTTTATACATGTTAGGCAATTAAATTATAAATTGACATTAACAATTTAACATAATTAGGGAATTAATAGCTCAAATTTATGGACTGATTGATGATTTGATTGTAGTAAAAAATTAATCGAAAAATCGTGATTGATATATTATATTGGAAATGTTGGTTTATTAACATAATAATTCAAATTCTTAATTTAAAAAACCGGATATAAATTATTGGCTATAGAAAGTGATTTTTTGGTTATTGGTTATAGGTAGGGGTGCAAGTTGGAACGGAATTTCCAATTTCCGCCGATTCCGATCCGAAAAGTTCCGATTTTGGAACAATTTTTTTCATTCCAACTTCCGAAATTCCGATTTCCGAATTTTTCCGATTTTTTTGGATTGGAATTGGAATTATATAAAATAAATTTGGAATTTCCGATTTCCGATCCGATTTAATTCCGAAATTAATTCCGAAAAAATCCGATTTTTTTCCGAAAAATACACCTATAAATAATATATATTATATAATACTTATTTTCCAAAAAATACACCTATGAGTTTTGTTTTAGGATTTTGACATAATGAATTGTTATTAGAAGTTTTATTGGATATTATACTGTGTTTATTTTTATTTATTTTTTTGAATTGAAATTTAGTAGTTATTAGTTTTACATTTATCGACGTGGATGTTCTTATTTTTGAAAAATTATGAACATTATAGAAATTTTCGGCTAAGTTTTGAAATTTTAAAGCTTATGTGATTTCCGATTATTTTCCGAAATTCCGAAATTTCCGGGCCTTTTGGAATTGGAATGAATTTTTAGATTCCGAAAATTTTGGAATTGGAATTGGAATTGATTTTGTACTTCCGATTTTTTTTGGAAATTTTCCGAAAAGGCTAATTCCGATCCGATCCTTCCGACTTTCACCCCTAGTTATAGGAATCAATTATGTGTATAGATAAAAGATTTTGAAAACTTTCTTTTTTGAGTCATAAATTAAACTGTTAAAATGAAATAGAAAATAATTTATTTATTGATTTAGGTATAGCGTATACGTGGATATGCATATATTTAAAGAAACTGCATATATAAAATCAACACTTGGACAAAAAGGTATATACATAGTAATTAAAAGAAATTATGATGCTAAGTGAAAATTAAATGAAAATTGTGGGGTAAAAATTAGAAATGACAATCCTTAATTGTGGCTTTTGTCTTCATATATTATATAGATTCCCCTTAAAAAAACACATGTTTGTATCAATGTTGTTAGAACCGGACCGAACCGGCCGGTCGACCGGTTCGACCGTGACCCGACAATAAAACGGCCCGGTCTAACATGTAAAACCGGAAAAAATCAAAAACCGGGGTCAAATGACCAAAATCCGGTTCGACCGGGTAAAACCCGAGAACCACCGAGTCAATCAAGGAACCCGGTTTTCGGCCAAAACGTCTCGAATCACCGTTGAGTTGGTTATTTGTGGCTAGATTTGAGCGAACCTTCATATACTTAGTAGTAGGTGGCCGGATCTAATCATGAGTGGTCGAAGGATTGTCGGATATGATCATGGGTGATCGAATAGGGGTGACCGATTGCCGGATTTGAAGAATAAAAAATAAAAAAAAATTGAATATAAGCAATAAAATATAGTAAAAAGTGAGTTGAAGTAAATAAAAGTGAAAATAATAACTCGAAGATTAAAAATATAAAGAAAATAATATTTTAAAAATATTAAAATTAATAAAATAATAGCATAATAAAAAAAATCAAAAACCCGGTTGAACCGGTTCGACCCTATAAACCCATGACCCAAATGGTTGTTCGGTTCTATAGCCGGTCCGGTTCTGAAAATATTGGTTTGTATTACTATTTACAACATAACAAAAGACGGAATTTGTGGATTGAAAACATTTTGTAATTCTGTAAAATTATACTATTCAAATCAAACATTAATCATTCACTTTCATTCTTCCATTATTATAATTTTCAATAACTATTAATGAGATTTAGTTAATTGAATCATCAATTATAATATTACCATTAATATAACCAATTAAAAACTAAAAATCTGAATCAATCATTTATTTTAGTTGGTAAAACAAATCCGGTCATTATGCAAATTATATCTTCCAAATTAATATAAAGAATAATTTTATACTTATAAAACATAATAATGTAATAAAAAAATATATAAAATTTATAAATTATTCATATATAATTTATTCACATAGATTAAAATATGTGCACAGTACCCATTTGTGTGTCAAAACATTATCTATATTTGCAAAACGAAACAAATAACTAAAAATAAGATAGATCAAACAAATTAAAGATTTTACACAAAACAAAGATTATGAATTAATAATACACCAAACATGACAAAAATAAAAGAAAAAGAAAGTAGACGATGATTGAATGTCGAGAGAATGTAAGAAAATCGTAATTCTCATTGAAACAGTATCAAGTGAATAAGGATACAAAATAAATTTTATAATATGGCATTTAATGGAATAGATTCTTTTAAATTGAATTAGTAGACAAACAACATAATGTATATGCGAAAGACTTTTATTAATTGCTTGCAATAATATATCATCTTAAAACTATTTACTATCAATAATTAGTGCGACAAATAGTTTCACATATTTTTGTAACCTATTAAAAAGAAGGGAAGATAAGCCTAGTAGTAAAACTACCACAATTTCACTATAATAATTTTGCAGTAAAACTTCCCTTGGATCCCATTTCTCTCACTTCTGCATAACCAAAAAAATAAAATAATATATCAAATTGTGTTAATAATGCAAATATGTAAATGAAAAAAAAATCAAAACAAACTACAGAAAACTACATTATAAAATATTCATATCATAAGAAAATATTGAGTAATAAAATAAATAATTGTAAAGAAAAAATGTAAGCTAACCGTGTTGATGAATTATGTATGGTCGAAGTTGGATTCGTAAAAATAATCTGCAAGAAATACATAAAGCATATGACATGTTATTATTTAACTAAATACAAATATAAAATGGAGTTGAAACATATAAAACAATTATGAATACATAAATATATAACACCAACACAAAATAAAAGAAGAGAAATGCACATATTTAAAATAATTCTAACAACATATTTTTAGTATCAGTATTGACTTCAACATATTTTTGTATATATAAAATTAATTATGAATATAAAACTATGCATATATACTTATAATAATTTATAAGAAATGATAAGAAAAATATAATATGAAACTGTATAATACGAACATTCTGCACTTTGTAATCGAATGGTGGTAGAAAAAAATGAAATGAACATTGAGGGGTTTATATAGTATTGAAAATGAACTTAATTCTATGGAAAAATTAAAAATTCAAAAGATTTATATATTAGTAAATGAAATCAAATCAAACAAATAAAGGAAACAACCCAAAAAAAATAATAATTTGTGGAAAAAAATATTGCAATATAAAAACATTAAATATGAAGATACGATTTTTATTTTTTACCATTCAATTTTGAATTAAAGTATAAATTAAATCAATCAAAGATGATATGATGGAATCTTGGAATATTAAAGATTCCTTTGTATTGGTGATTTGATATTTTATTTGAAATAATAATTAATAAATATAATGCATAATCCGTTTTATAGTTCGGACCATATTATATATTAAATAGTGTTTTCCAAATATACAACCAACTACTGCATTTAGAATTAATCCACCGTGCATTGCATATTTATTAAATAATATAATTATTTTTAATTTTAAATATGGTATAATAAAAATTATATTAAAAAATAGTGTATATTTATTAAATACTTCAATTAAAAACTAAAACATTTTTTTATTATTATTTTTAATGGAATGGATATTCGAATATTCTAAAATATTGAAAATTAAAAAAAAAAAAAAAAAAACAACAACAACAACAACATATTCCTTTATTTTAATATTTTAGTATTTAAAAAAATATTTTTTTTATGAAAATTATTTGAATATTCGTAAAACAATTGAGTGTCATGAATTTATTTGAATAAATATATTTTGAAATACTGAAAATATAAATAAGATTTTTTTTATTTCGAATTTATAAAATATTAACTTTGAAAATAATATATATACATGTGGTAATTATTAAATGATTGTGTAAATGTAAAATAGGAAAAAACTTAAAAACATCCATAAATAAAAATGCCACCTAATCAATTGCAGAATCTACCTAATCAATTGAACTCCAACTAAGCAATTTTGACAAATGACATCATCATTTGCCACATGTCAATCATTGAGGGCATAGATCCTCTTTTTATATTATATATAGATATTATTTAACACAGCAATATTTGTATCGTAAGTAAGGTGGGGCAATATTTAGGATCCATTATAATATATGATTCGTTATTTTTTTACTTTTTTTGCGAAATAATTTTCAGTTCAATTCACGATTTAACAAATATGGTCACGATGATGCTGCAGTGCCCAACTTATTAAAAGAAAATGGCAATCGAAATTATGACGAGAGATTTCCAGGAAAATAAAAAAAAAAAAAAAAAAAAAAAAAAAAAAAAATAAATAAAAATAAAAATACTAATATTTTTGCTATTTGCTTGCCGATGTCCAAAGCCCTATATACAGAAGATAATCAATCAATTCAGAATAAAGACCAGATTTGAATACACAGAATAAAAGACCAGATTTCATTTGAATACAGTTAAACCTTTATAAATTAAACATCTATAAATTAATACAGTGGAGATTAACAAAATTCTATTAATTTAGCAAAATATTAAATTATCAAACTAATAACTTAACACGTTTACGATGAGTTGGGACCGGAAGGAATTATTATTTAAGCGAGTTTATTAATTTATCGAGGTTCAACTGTAATCTTTACGAACCTTGTATTAGTATACCATTACAAATATAAACAATATACACCATATGTTGTTGTATATCCAATCACTAAACTTTCTTAGTTGGACCTTAATTAAATGTTACTAATTGGATACATTATTTCCAACATATTTACTCCATGACTTCCTCAATACTTACAAATCGACCCTTTTCGATCGAGAGTTGAGCCGCAACACCTATGGCTACAGAAACCAATCCAGCGTGCAGATCTACAACAGGAGCTTGTGTACCTTTTGCTCTTATTGAAGACAAGAACTGAAGATGTTCAAGATAGCTAGAGCCATGATGTAGCCCATTATATCTGGAGAAGCAGCACGTAATATGGGAATTAATCGAAAATATTTTAAATATCGACTTCTTACCTCAAGAAAAAAAAAAGGAAGTAAAAGAGTCGACTCACTTAATACGATCATCCTCGGCTTTTAATGTCTTAACGCCATCTCTTCCTTCTACACGGGTGCCCCAGTGAACAACATTCTCCGGGACAAATGCCTCACCCTGTAAGCTTTTTTTTCTAAGTAATTTTCACAATTTGCTAGGTTTTTGCATTTGATACCCCTTTACTTACTCTAATTGTCAAAAACATCCTCCTACTATCTTTATTAGCATAAATTCCTCTATCATTGAAGTTTATCTGTTTGTTTTAAAGAATAATATATTTATGTTTTTAGCAATTCGAAATAACAGAGGGTTTTTTACCTTACCAATGTCACCAACAACAGATATCTCTTGTTCGTTTTTACTGCCTTCGGCAAACATACAGAGATCAAGCATGCCCCGTGATCCATTTTCAAATTCAACAATTACATATGCATTGTCAATTATATCAGGCACCTGCAGAAACAAGAAAGCGACCGCGAAATAAACGAGAGAATTCTTATATCCCTACGACGAAAACAAAAGAAATCAAGAAGAAAGGCACTATCATGGTGATTGACTTTATTACAGTAAATGTTCCATTTAACAAATTACTATGAATTAAGACATCCTTGTCACTTATTAATTTGCACTCTCGAAAAGCTTTATCACTCTCATATAAAGCATTCGCATACAAGATTTGGACTACTACTAATCAATGAAGATAGCTATTCGAGCTGCGAGGATTTTCGACAGAAGGGTGGACAACATTCGTTATATCGACGTGTAATATGTATAATGAGAGTCTCTGATCACAATATGTTTTAAAAAAATTCATGTTAACTAATCTAACTTTTAAATAGTTATTACAGGAAGATAATTTACCTTCCCATCGTATGCCTCGTCTTTATGATTTACATCAATAGCACCAGAAGCCATGACACGTACAGGATTAGAGCCCGCAAATAGTGTCATGAGATCAAAGAAGTGGCAGCATTTCTCTACTAGGGTACCCCCAGTATTACAGTTGAACCGGTTCCAATTGTCAACCTATTAGAAAAAAAAAATAGAAAAAAGTAAATAAATAAAACGGGTCAAAAAGTTAAGACAGTGTACAGTGATCTGGTCGAAGTACCTTAACAAGAAATGGGAATCGATGTTCCCGTATAGACACCATCTTGACTTGTCCAAGAATTCCATCCTTAACCACATCAATTAGTTTAGCGACAGGTGGCATGTATCTATATTCTAACCCAACTTGTACTAGCATATCTTGTCTACTTTTTGCAGCATCTATGACCTGAAAAAAAAAGTGATCGGATATTTGATCGTAAAACAGGATAACTTTGTATGCGAGTGAAAAGTGATACTGTGAAAGAATTTCCTTCTCATTTGCAAAATTTGTCTTCATTAAAATATGAGAACCACCGAATCAATAAGATTGTCTCACATATCTCAAATTCATTTGATAAGTACAGCCGTTGATATAATTAGTGACATAATTAAACATCAGAATGAAAGTTATGTCCTTCAATAAGGATCGACGCTTTCAAAATCATAGTTTTATGATTTATCACTAGAAAAATAGTTGCTTAAGGTAAATAATTATCAATCACTAACAATCAACTAGTAGACAATGAATAAATTGTTTGATATTAGTGTTTTATGAACACTTGTCACTTATGATAGGTGAATACTGAGGAAAATGCAGTAAATAATAAAATTATAACTTGTACTCGGAAATTGGAATCACTAGAAGTAAGAACAAATTAAATTCTGCAGTTATTTTCTAACCTTTATGCAATCTGCAACGGTTGTGCAGAGAGGCTTCTCCACCAACACGTGATGGGTTTTCGGGTGGCTGATAACATCCATCAATATTTCGCAGTGAGTCATGTTTGGAGTCGAAATAACCAATACATCGCACACCCCACTATTCAACAGCTCTTTGTGACCCGAAAAAACCTTCAAAATCACACCGCCAAAGAACATTAAAAAACTGCAATATTCATTCCTTTCTTAATTTAAAAAAAAAACTAACAATTAATCAATAAAGAAAATGAATAATCCCATACAAGAATTGAAAAAAAAAAAAAATACACTGAACCTTCAGCACTCATATCGGCATATACACAAACACCTGATGTGCATTACATCATTCAATCAATATAATCCATTTCCACTCAAATGAACAAAGAATTGAATACTCAAGCACCACTTCAATCGAACTAAACAAAGCAACAAAATAACTACAATCCAGAGAAATTGAAAGCAGTACCTGAAGAGGCCAGTTGTAAGAGTGTGCAAGAAGCAGAGCTGCTTGTTGGGAAGGTAAGTGGGGATCGGCTATGGCGACAACAGCAACACCTTCGCTCTTGAGATGGTAAAGATTGATGAGATGTTCTCTTCCCATCATCCCAACTCCGATTATTCCATATTTTACTACTCTTCTATCACCCATTTTAGATGGTTTTAATTTTGCTAATGCGAATTTTCTCTGGTATAAGTTTTTTAGTTTCCAAGTGTGATGAGGATAAATTTGATAAAGGCCGGCTAAAAATAATACCATTTTTTTCTCATTTTAATACCACTATATTTAAGAATATAATTTAATATATATCTGAATTTTTTTTGGGGTAAGTATAGATAAATCCCCAAATACAAACTTAAAGCGCGAATCAGTCCCTACAGATGTTTTATAGGCGGATCAGTCCCTACTGCAGAGTTTCAGATGCAGTTCAGTCCCTATGTTTATATTATTATATTATTTTTTTCTCTCTCTGTCTCTCTCTTCATTTAATTTTTCTCTCTCCTCCTTTTTTCTTTCTTTTCTCTTTCCTCTTTCCTCTTTTTCTCTTTCTCTTTTCTCTTTTCTTTCCTTGCCCCGTTCCAATTCAAAACTCAATTTTCAGTTATTTTTTTTAAACAACAAATGAAAAGGCACAAGAAAAAACTCGTGAAGAAAACAAAATAAAAAGAGGAAAGAGACTCATTCTCGAAGAATTGTGAAGGGGAAGAAACAAGATTTGATTTTTTTTTTCTAGTCACATATTTAAAAGATGTTTGATAGTTTAATATATGTTCTAAGAAAGACGCTTCTCGTATTATTTTTTGAAACATTTTGTGTTTTATGTGACTGCAGTAGTATATGTCGTATTAAACAATAGTATTGCTAGTGTGGTTGGATGGTGTTGAAATAAGAGATGAAAAATACTAGTATTGCTAGTCATGTAGTAGAATAAATGCGTCAACATAGTACGCTTACGTCTAGAATCAAGTATATTTGGTTCAGTGGTGAAGTACGTGTTGTCTAAGTGAGTATCATGTCGGCATTTTGAGGCATTTTGAACTCTAAACGCAACACCATTGTTCATCAATCTTAAAATAATCATTTAAAGTATATTTTATGTCCCTCCCACACTCACACACTCACTAATCACTAAATTTATTATGAAATTGGTACAATTCAATTCATTATAATTATGGTACAATTTATTCTACATAGAAATGAATGCATTACACCAGTGATGCTCGTGTTGTCCATTCATAGAGTACGCTTCTTTCAATGATACGCTTGCTTTATAGATATTATTTTGGAACCAATGCAACAATATAAACTCATTTTCTGAGGCATTCCTTCATTTTATGACTAATTACATGAAATGAGATAACGTGGGAATCCATCAACATCAATTATGGTAACATTTGAGAAAAATACTAGTCCTACATACAAGTCTTGTACTATATGTGAATATCATGTAGGAAATCAAACACATTTGTGGACTCCAAACGTAACACCAATGTTCATCCAACTTAAAATACTCATCTAAAACATAATTTATACATTCCCATACTAATTCATCATTAAAGTGTCAAGGAAATTGGTTCAACTCAATTTATCACAAAATATAGTATGTTTTGTTCCACAAATTATAAGTACAATGTATAAACTGGTAAAGTTAGAGTTATTCATGCATATAGTATTGCGAGTTTATTCATAAAGTATATGTTGTCCATTCATATTGTACTGTTATATTCTTTATATTATTGTGGGGCCAATGCATCTATATAATATCATTTTAAGACGCATTTCTTCATTTTAAGACTATTAACATGAAATGAGATGATTAGGAGTTGATCAACATAGATTATGGAACATTTGAGTGCAATTTTAGCTCTATGCATGAGCCTATACACTTATATGAGTACCATGTAATAAATCCAACACATTTATCGTATCTTGTACACTTATATGAGTATCATGTATGAAATTCAACATATTTATGGCATTTTGTACTCCAAACGCAACAATAATGCTCACCAACCTTAACATACACATCTAAAACGTAATTTATGCATCTTCTATACTAATTGATCATTAAAGTGTCATGGAAATCGGTATAACTCAATTCATCACAAACTATAGTCCGATGTGTGAAACACGTAAGTACAGTGAATACACATGTGAAGTACATGTCTAGAATTGACACGATATCTTCAAAAAAACTAGAAAATATGTGTTGTTCATTAGTATGGTACGCTTATATTATTTATATTAATTTGTGGCCAAGTCAACCATGTAAACTCAACTCATAACACAACATAGTACTGTGACTTCAACAGTTAAGTACAATTCATCAAAATATATGGTACAATGTTTTCAGTATAAAGTACGAGTAGAGCTGACCAATAGTATTGTTAGCTATATAACAAAGGACATATTCGTGCAACTACATACACATAATTAAAATTATATCAAATATAACCCACTATAAAGTTCCACAACTAGTATTTCCAATATTCTCTTTCAACACCATCCAAATGCACTAGGAATACCACTATTGCATATACTACAACATCACCAAGAATAATACAATAAACCTTTTTCCCATTTCCTATATCAAAGTCATCAAACATCATACATCAAATCCTTGCTAGGACTAAAATTGCTTTGGGAACATGCTAATATCGCCGAAGAATAATACCCAAGAGAAGAGTGTTCAAAATCGACAATAAATAAATGATCTTTACAAACTCGAACAACAAAATAACAAATGTTGGAACCGAGTTCATGATTAGGGGAAACAAGTCAAATCTTATTTCTTCTCCTTCACTATTTTTCGAAAATGGGTCTCTTTCCTCTTTTCTTTTTGTTTTTTTCTTCTTCTACTACCTTGGTTCTTCGTTTTCTTTGTTCTTGTTGCTTCATTTGTATTGATTTATGAGTTTGTTTTCTTGCGCATTTTCGTGTTCATTTTCGTTTGTTGTTTGAAAAAAAATAACATAAATTGAATTGGAACAGGAAAGAAAAGAAGAGAGAGAAGAGACATAGAAAAAGAGGAAAGAGGAAAGAGAGAAGAAAGAGAAAAGTAAGAGACAGAAAATGAAAAAGTATGTAATTTCAGATTAAAGTAAAGGGTATTTTAGAATTTTCACTTGCCTCTAGGGACTAAATTGCATGTGAAACTTTGCATTAGGGACTGATACGCCTATGAAACATTTGTAGGGACTGACCCGCATATTAAGTTTGTGTTTAGGGATTTATATGTACTTACCCCATTTTTTTCTTATTTTAGTACGAAAAAGAAATTAAAAGTATAAAAATACCCTTATACATAAATGGCATCTTTGGTTTGCATTATTAGCAGGGATGGAATGAATTGTACTCCTGGGTACAATGTTTGGTTCGGTTGATTTGCCGTCCTTGACTAATGGCCCCACCATTTTAATCAACCAATTGAATTATTAATTATCCACCCAATTTTGACTTGATAGTTTATCATTTATACAATCCCACTTCTTGCTCGATGTGAATTGACGAAAATGTCCCTCATTATTTCTTAAATTACGAAAAAAATCGATATATAAACTCACAAAATCAGCTGTTTCCCCTCGTTGATGCAGCCCTAGCCTCTCAGGTGAGAAATCCTCCCAAGTGAGAAATCCTCCCAAGTGAGAAATCAGATCTTACACCGTCTTTTCAATTTTTAGATTTGTTGTTTGTTTTAGTGTTTAATCCGTTCAATAACTTGTTAAAATGCCCACAAATTGTTTGTACTTTGGCAGATAGAATCGAAGAAGAAGACGGGTCCGGCGAGAAACCTCCGTTCGAAGTTTTGACACTTTCCGGTGTCCGTCATTGTGGCAGGTTCCTCTTTGTCTTTGAATTTTAAATCTTTGTTTAATTCCGTCGAGTTTGAAATGAGAAATTTAGGGCTTTGTTTATTGCAAGAACTCCTCACCAACAGAGCCTTAGAATACCCAATTGTTTCTTTGTTGTTATTTAAGCTATATATATATATATATATGTATATATATATATATATATATATATCTGTTAACTCCTTACTTTTCAACCTTGTCAGTAACGTTTCTTATTCGGCATTGAGCATCACAACAGATTTAAGCCACCAACGCAACCATTACCGCTTTAGTTAACTGCCATTACCTACAGGTATTTGTTTCGCTATTAATACGAAAAACCAGGTTTGATTTCACACAGGCTGAATATATGCCACCCGTAGACTACAAATGTTTTTTACTTGTTCAACAAAAGCTGTTTAATGTAGGTTATTTAAGATGTTTATAAATGTATAATAGAAATTATGCACATACTAACATAGGTCACCACTGAACGACTATCAGTTATGTTCTTACTCCATAAGTTGCTTAATAAACCGGAGATTGTGCACACAATATGTATCTACTGAATACACGAATAATATGAGGTATTGCTGTCAATGTAGGAAATTGTGGGACTGCGATGGATTTTTCAAAAAAGGAAGAAGTTGTTGTTGTTTTACATCAAGTCATGTTTAATCTTCGGCTGTTTTTCTTGATGTCCGTTCACATATTTAGTAAAAAAAATCGTCGTCAGTTGTCTTGCTCTCAGAATAACACCCAAACTTACAGTTTAATAGGACGAACACCTTCACACCTTGACTATTTGCGTTCGTTAGTTGGGTTGAACGATGTAACATGTCGTGATAATCTTAGAATGAACATACAGTCATTTTACCGGCTGTGTTACATTTTAGAAAATATGGGCGGTCTTAAAGCAAATAGAAATGTGTCTATACCAGAGCAAGTCACAATGTTTCTTCAAATTTTAGCCCATCACACAAAAAACGTTGTTGTTCGGAGTCATTTTAACAGATCTGGGTACACGGTAAGCAAACACTTTAACCGCGTTCTACTGGCCTTACTTAAGTTACACGAAATGCTACTGATAACACCAAAAACCGTCGACGAACTTTGTGAAAATGAGCGCTTTTCACATTTCAAGGTAACATAATAAAAAATGTTATGTCAATGTTGTCTTAAACAGCTGTTATTTGTTTAAATAACTACGTTATTACGGTGATTATTTATTAGGGATGTCTCGGTGCACTAGATGGGACGTACATAGGGTGCCGGGTTCCTTATCTTGATAAACCAAGATACAGGAATCGCAAGGGTAATGTGTCGATCAATGTTCTAGCTGTTTGCGATGATAACATGAATTTTATATACTTACTTATGGGTTGGGAAGGGTCTGCAGCCGATAGTAGAATACTTCGTGATGCA